CTGTGGACGCTAATGCCTGCGATGCGGGGTAGAGACGTATTGAGAACCCTGTCGTCCATGATATCAACCTGCTGGATATGAGGATTTGGCTGCCCTCCTGGATGCAAGAATGTTTTGCGTAACTGCTGCAATAGGTTGCCTTGCTGAAGGATGTTAGCTCTGTGGTAGATTACTCGAGGAAGAATGCTGTTAGGTTGATTCCAGCATGCTCTGGTGAGATGTTGGTGGTGTCCATTTGTCAATATGGATGGAAGTAAAGTTCTGGCCTACGTTACTGTGGAAATTAACGACCTTAGTTCCTTGAGGCAAGTTCCTTGAGGGAGTCCACCATGCTTTGCCAGCTGCGTCCATGAGATTGCCTTCTACCAGACAAGCAATGACAACGTGCTCCTTGAGGAAAGGAATCTCTGTTGCGAAAGTATTTTGATCTTCAGGTTCCAGAGTGAATGAAAACGAACCCTTGACTAACCATCCCTGAATGGTTTCCGAGAGTACCTCTCGGGAGAGATTCCCCGTCCATCCGGTGTAGAGGATGCACAGGCCCGCTGTCAAAACATCTAGTGGCTAGCGCGGTATCCAAGAACAAGATGACTTCGTCGATGTCCATGATTGAGATCAAGCCCGTCCTAGTCCCTGCATTCAACACGGTTTTGTAAGTAGCCCTAGTCATCACCATCTCGCTAAACCTACTCTGTTCGCCTCTTGGAAGAGTTCTTCGCCTTGAAAGACCACGGAATAAGACCCATGTGCGGAGCTGCTCACGAATCGAAACAGAACGGAAGTCTAGTAACCGCATGATGGCCATCGCCCAGTGGCCCACCCGGTGCTCGACCGCCATCGCTCCGCTCTCGTCCCCCAATCCATAATTCTAAAGTTTGATAGTTCACGTCGAGATATTTAGTTGTAACAAGATTATATTATCCGTCAATTAGCACCAGGGACCTTCAAGCTTTCTGGTGTTTCATGGAAACTCTGCTACGAGATTATCAGTTTGAGAATAAGTTTTGTTTATGACTGCATCAAGAACTCACCTCGGACGAATCATGCAATGGATGATCTTGTTCTCCATTCAAGGATAGATCTACTCGAAATCCAGCAAGTGTCCACCTTTCTGGAATCTCATTTCAGTCCTTGGTTACCTTGGTGTGCCAAGTGAGCTGGTTCTGACGTGTGTCATCAGGCGCGCGGATTGCTCCCACAAATCCGGGAGCCTGTTGTTTCTACGTAGCTCTATCTGCTGCAGCCACGGTAATTTCATAAACAGCTTCGTCAAGAGCCTGTGGTAGATTCCAGGACATTCCAACTGCTATCAAAGATGTGGCCTCCATTTGTCCATAGTTTGAAATATTAGTGATCCGTTGAGAATGGATATACAAATGAATTTAATATCGCAAGAGCTCGACGTAATGAAAAGAAATTTGTTGACTTCGTATGCATCATCTGAGAACTTTTGTGTTTACGGCTCTCTCTACTTTTGCAGAACGGTCCATCCATGTTGGATACCACTTGTGGGCGGAGGATAACAGCGATCAGGATACAAGTATGATGGCTATGATTGAATATTACATGGTTGTTCCTTTTGCTCACTCAGAAACGACAGATCTAGATAGTTGAAATTGAGACAATAGGTACTGGCCTTCTGCATGCAACAGTTCTGCATGCGTTGACTGATTTCATGACCTTTCGAAACTTTTCATAACAGAGATATTACTGAAGCTTCTCACTGATCTGAATAAAGATTGATTTGGAGTATTTTCAATGCATCCAACGCAATCCCAATTTCGGATGAGCAAGGAGATTGGTTTCAAGGCCTCAACCAATCGCATAAGCTCTGCTCTGAATATAGATCATTGCATTGAATTTTCCTTCTCTTTATACAATTGTAGCGTTTGCATGCGGTTAATATCACGCCAGTATGAACACAAAAGTTTCTGAAGGGGATGATCAGCAGTTTCTTCATGTGACGGTCTATACTCAAAATCCTCCGGATTTCCTTTTACTGGGCAAAAGACCAAGTTGATACAGTTATTTGGAGTTTGATTCGGCATGCTTTGAACCGTGGGAAATTCCTCCTCCAAGATTGACAAGCCGTGGTCTATATAAGAATCAGCCAATTGCACTTGCTTCCTGATAAAGAAACTGTACTCACTTCTTCGCGAAAAGCCCTCATCTTATTGAACAAGCTCGAATTTTTACTGGACAATCACGTAATACACTGCCAAATGATCTGATCACCGTCTACAAGAAGTATGATTAAGAAATGTCCAGATCATGTAATCTACAAAATCTGTTTCGAAAATTTACACATTTTACATTAGTATCTGACATCTAGTCTGCTTGTCGACTGAACTGAACTACTTGTGGTCTTTACTGGGCATCGCTCCGATTGGTAGCTCGAAGAATGAGTTCTGCTTGTTGACGATCTGAGCCAGAGCCAAGTACCATGCAATGAAAGCTGTAATGATTCCGAAGATGCCACCAGCCTTCGTTATGTCTTTGTCTAGTTTGAATTCACCGATGGTCAGCAGAAGGAAGGTGATGGACAGCGAGAAGAATAGGGTCGTGAGGCACACGTTCGTTCGTAGAGTGGCCAACCACATCATGAAGGTGAAGATGGTCCAACCCAGCAGCCAAAGCCCCAGAGCTTCATTGTAGTCCACAAGAGACTCACTCGCCAAAAAGGCAGCACGAACACCAAAGGCCGGAATCTGAATCACAGCGAACGAAAGCCAGAAAGCACCATATGACGAGAATGCAGTCGCTCCAAATGTGTTACCAGCCGAGAATTCCCACATTCCAGCGAGAAGTTGCGCCAATCCACCGTACCCAGCAGCCAAACCAGTGACGACAGTATGAGGAGCACTCTGTGGAATAATCACTCCAGCGTTGTGGCAAGACAGCACAAACGTGGTCAAGGCGAATCCCATGAGCCCCAGAGGAGCAGGGTTCGCAACCACAGATTTGGTGTGCATGGGTCTGGACAGGATGTCTTCCAATCGAGATGCCCTTTCCAAATCACGTTCGTGCGTTGGGTACGACATTGTCGATGGTCCTGCAGAAGACAAGCTTGTGGCTTTCAGATTCCTGGTCGAAGGTGCTCAAGCCCTGGAGAAGTATCGGTTGGGACGAGATTACAGTCAATCTAGATGTCACAAAGTGAAGCGCAACTGGATGTCGAGACTGCTGAATCTGGTCTGCCGCTGGCTTCCGGATTGGATTCGTCTACGCTTTCAGCAAGTCAAGACTGCTTCCTCCTGTTTGATGAAAGCCCAAGCATCTGATATATATACATTCCTCAGGACATTCAGCACCAGCCTGCCTCTTGACGAGCATGCCAAAATCAGCTCTGGACAACTATTCCGGCTTCTGGTGACAACTAGTCTAATTATATAAACTTCAAATTCTCGAAGTTACAAACATGGAGCGTTCTTCTACCCACTTGGGATAAAGCAGTTGTACATGCTCAATTTGCTCACGAGGCTCGCAACTTTCTTGGAGTATTGACACCTACTATCGGTTCGGCGGTTGACACCTCTCTAAGTTTTGAAACGCCAGGACTTTCTCGCTCCTCTTGCTGTTTCCTGGTGTGCTAGTGAGCAGCTACCACACCTGTAGCAGGTTTAATCTGATCTCTCCCCCATTTGAGTGGGCAGACGTCCACTCAAACAAATCAAATCTCCAAGCTCATCACCTCAGTTCAACACGGGGATAATCGAAGGGAAGCAAAGAAGGATTCCAATATATGATTAAAATAGTCTGCAAACTGCACAAGCATAAACCAATATGGATTCTATGGACTGCAGCTAACCCGAGTGATATGTGTATGCATATGCGTAGTGTTCGCACATGCTGAATTGCCGAATACATTAGGATCGCGCGAAAGTAGCATATATGAACTTCGTGGCTTCAACTATACTTAACAACAGCACGTCGATATATTCAGTTGTAACGAGATTTAATAATCCTTTTCATGTCAATTAGCACTAGGTACCATCAAGCTTTCTGATGTTTCATGGAAATCTGCTTGTAGTTATCAGTTTGAGAAGAATAAGTTTTGTTTATGACTGCGTCAAGAACTGACCTCGGAGGAATGATGCAATGGATGATCAAGTTCTCCTTTGAAGGATAGACCTGCGCGAAATCGAGCAAGTCCCCACCTTGCTTGAATCTCGTTTCAGTCCTCGGTCACCTTGGTGTGCAAAGTGAGCAGGTTCTGACGTTTGTCATTAGGCGCGCGGATTGCTCCCACAAATCCGGAAGCCTATTGTTTCTACGTAGCTCTATCTGCTGCTACCACGGTACTTTCATAAACAGCTTCGTCAAGAGCCTGTGGTAGATTCCAGGACATTCCAACTGGTAATAAAGATCTGTCCTCGATTTGTCCATAGTTTAAAATGTTAGTGATCCGTTTGGAATGGATATACAAATGTATTAAAAATCGCAAGAGCTCGAAATCTGGCAAGAAATTCGTTGACTTCGTATGCAACATCTGAGGACTTTTGTGTTTCTGGCTCTCTCTACTTTTGCAGAATGGTCCATCCATGTTGGATATTACTTGTGAGCTGGAGGATAATAGCGATCACGATACATATATGAAGGCAACGATCGAATATTGCATGGTTGATTATATTGCTCACTGATATACGACAGATATCGATAGTTGAAATTGAGACAATAGGTGCTGGCCTTCTGCATGCGTTGACGAATTTCTTGTCCTTTCCAAACTTTTCATAACAGAGAAAACAATGATAAGTGCTAGTCACAATAACTTAAGTTCCTCGCTGATCCGAATAAAGATTTATCTGGTGTATTTTCAATGCATCCTAAGCAATCCGAATTCAGATTAGCAAGGAAATTCTGCTTTGAACATAGACGTTTGCATTGAATTTTCGTTCTCTTTTTACCGTTGTAGCTTTTTAAAGCGGTTAAAATTAAGCCAATAAGGACACAGAAGTTTCTCAAAGAGATGATCAGTAGTCTCTTCACGTACTGGTATGTACTCAATATCCTTCGGATTTCTTCTTTCTTTGCCAAAACGAAATTGGTACAGTCATTTGGAGTACGATTTGGCAAACTTTGAAACGGGGAAATTTCTCCTCAAAGATTGACAAGCCGTTGTCTAAACGAAGTACAAGAATCCGCCAGATCCACTTGCTTCCTGATAAAGAAACTGTACTCACTTGTTCGCAAGAAGCCCTCATCTCATTGAGCAAGCTCGAATTTCTACTGAACAATTACATACTGCACTGCCAAATGATCTGATCTGCTTCTATGAGAAGTATGATTAGCAAATGCTCTAATCATGTTATCTACAAAATCTGTTTCGAAAATTTACACATTTTACATTCGTATCTGACATCTAGTCTGCTTGTCGACTGAACTGAACTACTTGTGGTCTTTACTGGGCATCGCTCCGATTGGTAGCTCGAAGAATGAGTTCTGCTTGTTGACGATCTGAGCCAGAGCCAAGTACCATGCAATGAAAGCTGTAATGATTCCGAAGATGCCACCAGCCTTCGTTATGTCTTTGTCTAGTTTGAATTCACCGATGGTCAGCAGAAGGAAGGTGATGGACAGCGAGAAGAAGAGTGTCGTGAGGCACACGTTCGTTCGTAGAGTGGCCAACCACATCATGAAGGTGAAGATGGTCCAACCCAGCAGCCAAAGCCCCAGAGCTTCATTGTAGTCCACAAGAGACTCACTCGCCAAAAAGGCAGCACGAACACCAAAGGCCGGAATCTGAATCACAGCGAACGAAAGCCAGAATGCGCCATATGATGAGAATGCAGTGGCTCCAAATGTGTTACCAGCGGAAAACTCCCACATTCCAGCGAGAAGTTGCGCCAATCCACCGTAACCAGCAGCCAAACCAGTGACGACAGTATGAGGTGCACTCTGTGGAATAATCACTCCAGCGTTGTGGCAAGACAGCACAAACGTTGTCAAGGCGAATCCCATGAGCCCCAGAGGAGCAGGGTTCGCAACCACAGATTTGGTGTGCATGGGTCTGGACAGGATGTCTTCCAATCGAGATGCCTTTTCCAAATCACGCTCGTGCGTTGGGTACGACATTGTCGATGCGTTCTCGGTCCTGCAGAAGAGAAGCTTGTGGCTTTCGGAATCCTGGTCGAAGGAGCTCAAGCCCTGGAGAAGTGTCGGTTGGGACGAAACTCACTTACTCTGGATGTCAGAGAGAGAAGCACGACTGGATGTCGAGACTGCTGAATCTGGTCTGCCGTTGGCTTCCGGATTGGATTCGTCTACGCTTTCAGCAAGTCAAGACTGCTTCCTCCTGTTTGATGAAAGCCCAAGCATCTGATATATGTACATTCCTCAGGACATTCAGCACTAGCCTGCCTGTTGACGAGCATGCCAAAATCAGCTCTGGACAACTATTCCGGCTTCTGGTGACAACTAGTCTATTTATATAAACTTCAAATTCTCGAAGTTACAAACACGGAGCGTTCTTCTACCCACTTGGGATAAAGCAGTTGTACATGCTCAATTTGCTCACGAGGCTCGCAACTTGGAGTATTGATACCTATTATCGGTTCGGCGGTTGACACCTCTCTAAGTGTTGAATCGCCAGGACTTTCTCGCTCCTCTTGCTGTTTCCTGGTGTGCTCCAGAGCAGCTACCACACCTGTATCAGGTTTGATCTGTTCTCTCCCCCATTTTGCATTTGAGTGAGCAGACGTCCAAATTTAGACATATCTCCAAGCTCATCACCTGAGTTCACCACGGGGATAAGCGAAGGGAAGCAAAGAAGGATTCCAATACATGGTGAAAATAATCTGCAAACTGCACAAGCATAAACTAATATGGATTCTATGAATTGCAGCTAACCCGAGTGATATGTGTATGTACATGGAAACAGGCTACCCAAAGTAGTGTTCGGACGTGCTGAATTATCGAATACATTAGGGTCGCACGAAAGTGGAATATATGAACTCCGTGGCTTCAATTATACTTAACAACAGCACGTGGAGAAAACTTGAAAAAACTTGAAATTATACTTGGTAGTAACGTCTTCAGGATGGGTCAATCGATATACCATCTGTTCACTCCTTACGTACACACAAGGTTTATGTGAAAATATCAAATATTTCCGTTTGGTATCTTCAGGCTTCATAGCTAGACACTATACTTGTTAATCACGTGTCGAGGAATCAGACTGAATTAACAGTTCCAATCAATTATCAGGTACCCATTGACAAGTTGGTACTTTCTGTTCAAATAAAGATTTCGCGTTCTTATACTACAACTCACAAGAGCCTTACATGTAAAATCTGCTTAGAGATTGATAAGTTTGAGAATGAGTTTTGTTTATGACTGCGTCAAGAACTGACCTCGGAGGAATGATGCAATGGATGATCTAGTGCTCCTTCCAAGGATACATCTACGCGAAATCGAGCAAGTGTCCACCTTTCTGGAATCTCGTTTCAGTCCTCGGTTACCTTGGTGTGCAAATTGAGCAGGTTCTGACGTGTGTCATCAGGCGCGCGCATTGCTCCCACAAATCCGGAAGTCTATTGTTTCCACGTAGCTCTATCTGCTGCTGCCACGGTAATTTCATAGACAGCTTCGTCATGAGCCTGTTGTAGATTCCAGGACATTCCAACTGATCTGATCGGACTGAAAGATCGGTCCTCGATTTTTCCATAGATTAAAATGTTAGTGATCCGTTTGAATGAATTGAATCTCACAAGAGCTCGAAGTATTGACAATAAATGGTTGACTCCGTATGCAACATCTGAGGACTTTTGTGTTTCCGGCTCTCTCTACTTTTGCAGAACGGTCCTATCATGTTGGATATCACTTGTGGGTGGAGGATAACACCGATCAGGATTTATATATGTAGGCAATGATTGAATATTACATGGTTGATCGTATTGCTCACTCAGATACGACAAATCTAAATAGTTGAAATTGAGACAATAGGTGCTGCCTTCTGCATGCAACAATTCTGCACGCGTTGACCACTTTCATGTCCTTTCCAAACTTTTCAAAACAGAGAAAATCTTGATTATTGCTAGTCACTATAACTGAAGCTCTTCGCTGATCCGAATAAAGATTGATTTGGAGTATTATCAAATGCATCCAACACAATCCTGATTTCGGATCAGCAAGGAGATTAAGTTGCTTCAAGGCCTCGACCAGTCGGGGAAGATCTGCTCTGAACGTAGACTATTGCATTGCATTGAATTTTCCTTCTCTTTATATCATTGTAGCGTTTGCATGCGGTTAATATTATGCCAATAAGGACACAGAAGTTTATCAAGGGGATGATCAGCAGTTTCTTCATGTGACGGCCTATGCTCAAAATCCTCCGAATTTCTTCATTCTTTGCCAGAACCAAATTGATACAGTTATTCGAAGTTTGACTTGGCATGCTTTGAACCGTGAGAAATTCCTCCTCCAAGATTAACAACCCGTCGTCTAAACAAAATACAAGAATCAGCCAATTTCACTTGCTTCCTGATAAAGAAACTGTTCTCACTCATTCGCGAAAAGCCCTCATCTTATTGAGCAAGTCGGATATTTACTTCACAATCACATAATACACTACCAAATGATTTGATCAGCGTCTATAAGAAGTATGATTAGGAAATTCCCTAATCATGTAATCTACAAAATCTGTTTCGAAGTTTACACATTTACATTCGCATCTGAGATCTAGTCTAAAATGTCGACAGAAGCGACTACTTGTGCTCTTTGGTGGGTACAGCTCCAATCGGAAGCTCAAAGAATGAGTTCTGCTTGTTGACGATCTGAGCCAGAGCCAAGTACCATGCGATGAAAGCTGTAATGATCCCGAAGATGCCACCAGCCTTCGTAATGTCTTTGTCTAGTTTGAATTCACCGATGGTCAGCAGAAGGAAGGTGATGGACAGCGAGAAAAAGAGGCTCGTGAGACACACGTTTGTTCGCAGGGTGGCCAACCACATCATGAAGGTGAAGATGGTCCAACCCAGCAGCCAAAGCCCCAGAGCTTCATTGTAGTCCACAAGAGACTCACTCGCCACAAAGGCAGCCCGAACACCGAAGGCCGGAATCTGAATTACGGCTAACGACAGCCAGAATGCACCATATGACGAGAATGCAGTGGCTCCAAAAGTGTTACCCGCTGCAAACTCCCACATTCCAGCCAGAAGTTGCGCCAATCCACCGTACCCAGCAGCCAAACCAGTGACGACAGTATGAGGAGCACTCTGTGGAATAATCACTCCAGCGTTGTGGCAAGACAGCACAAACGTGGTCAAGGCGAATCCCATGAGCCCCAGAGGAGCAGGGTTCGCAACCACTGATTTGGTGTGCATGGGTCTGGACAGGAGATCCTCCAATCGAGACGCCTTTTCCAAATCACGTTCGTGCGTCGGGTACGACATTGTCGATATGCTCACGGTCCTGCAGAAGAAAAGCTTGTGGCTATTTGGATTATGTCAGAAGAAACTTAAGCCGACGGGAGTATCAGAGAGAGGAGTACGACTGGAGGTCGAGACTGCTGATTCTGGTCTGCCTTCCGCTTATGGATTAGCTCCGACTACGATTGCAGCAAATCAAGACTGCTTCCTCAGTGCGAACATGCCTGAAGCAGCTGACTTATATACATTCCGCAGGACATATATGCCAGCCTGTGTACAAGCATGCCAAAATCAGCAGTGACTGCTATTCTGGCACCATCTGACAATGCTGTGTATTAATGCAACGAGATGTATTATCCGAGATGGTGACAACGAAGGACGGTATTACCCACTTGGGATAAAGCAGTTGTGCATGCTCACTTTGCTCTCGTGCCTAAGGCTCGCAGCTTTCTTGGAATATTGATACCTACTACTGGATTGGCTTTTCTGACACGTCGAAGTGTTGAATCACCAGAAGTCCTTCCCCGCTCCTAGTGCTGTTTCGTGTTAGCGAGGAGCTACCACATCTTTAGCAGGATTGATTTCTCCTTTTCTCCACTTTGGATTTTGTTGGGCTTCAGCAAATGTCCTTTTTTAGACGAATCTCCAAACTCAGCACATAAAAAAACCGTTGGACAATCAAGGGGACCAACCAAGTAACCAAGTAATACCCCAATATTTAGGTGAAATTATCCGCATACTACACAAACATCAACTGCTGTGAATTACATGAATTGGATCTACCTGAAGTACTTTTATGTATGGGTTACATGCTACAGAAGATAGTATTCACATACTCGATTGATAATCGCTCGATACACTTACACCCCATGAAAGTGGCATACTTGGAATTCATGGCGTCACAACACTTAACTTAACGATAGCACGTCGAGAATAATTGATATTCATCAATTGAGATTTCGTAATCACGCCTTTAGGGCTGTGGTATATCATATGTTATTCCTTTGTTTGTCTACCACGAGATCTATTGTACCTACAGATCTCCAATTCAACGCCGATCCAAAATCTGTCTACCGATTGAGAATGCAAGGGGGAGCAGGATTTCGAATTTCTTTTGTCGACAAAAATTTTTCATATACGGAAAGTTTTCAGAAGAAACTCGGTCAGTGACCAGCTTTTTGGGTTTTTAAACGTTGTCCTTAAACATCTTTAGAATTCTATGTCATGAAAAGTTAGACATCCTCATTGCTGGAGGAGTTTTTAGTCCTCAGTCTTATATATTTTGTAGATGAGGGACTTGTGAATGTGAGCATTAACAACTGTTCCAAGACTTGGACCTTTTACGTGAGTTATTTGCTTCACCTTCAGATCTTTCCTCGCATTGCCAGCTATCTCCAACACCACTACGGTAAAATAATCCGGAATTGCTGCAGAGTGAACTGCAGCGGTGGCACCAGCTCGAAAAACTCCAACAGTGGATGAATACGTTCGATCCAGTGAACACAATTTACCGTCTTTGGGTTCAAGTATAGCACTTCCTTATCACTCAAATGGGTGTGGCAGCGAGGCCAAACGGTTATCCAAGTAATTAAACTTTTTATTTATATGCCTTGAGGACTAGAAGCATCAATGTCGAATCCACGGTGTATACCAAGAGCACCTTCTCCTTCTTCTATTTCTTCTTTAATCCAAGAGATCCAATTATACTTGCGATAGTCAGATCAGCCGTGTCACTTGCATCTTGATATCCATGCAGTACGCTGCTGATTGATACTTTCTAGAAAATTGTATAACTGTGCGGTTTTTTGTGATCTTTCAGTGAGATCAAAATAGCAAATAAAATCATATCGGATGGAACGGAGACATGGATAATCACCATGAATAAGGGCCAGCTCTGCACTGCTGCTACTAAACTGGTCTGGGTGGCGATATAAAACATACACCTGCAATTGCGACTTTGGCAATCAAGCTGCAGGGAATAAGAAACAGACTGATGATTTCATCCTCAACAAGGCCTGGGGCCTGACTCAATACCAGAAGCTAGTTGCAGTCTTCGTACATGAATAGAGGAGGAGAGAGAGACTCTCCGGATGGGAAGGAGTTGTCATGTTTGAAGATCTGAGAGACCCAGGTACCAAGCAATGAAGTCCATGAATATCCATCCGGCTCTGGTGAAGCACTTGTGATTCGCAAAATAAAAGATGGTGAACAGGAGGAAGGTGACGGACAGCGAGAAGATGTGGGAGATGAGGCAGAATTGGTGTGCAGAGTGGCTACAGACATCCTGACGGCGTATTTGGTCCACCCAGCAGCGACAGCTCCAGGGCTTCCGATCGACAGCTGATTGGTGGCCACAAACGCATCACGAAAACAGAAGCCTGGGTCTGAAACAAAGCGAACAATAACCAGAGAAGCCGTAGCTCCAATCGAGTTTCCAGCTGCGAGCTCCCATGTTTCTGTCAGGTCGAAAATTGTACTTCTCTGCTTGAAGGAAGGCAGTAGCAGCCGGGCTGACAATAGCTTGGAATTTGATCGATGTTGCGGATATGATGAGCTGAGGGGACTGAAAATGAGGGCTCATCTGGATTCGATCACGTGTCCTCCTGTTCACACACGTGTCAATCCTCAGTCAGCTTGGTATCGCAAGTGAGCAGGTTCTGATGTCCGTCATCGCTCGCGGATGGCTCCCACTAAAATCGGGAGCCTACTATATTTACGATGCTCGGTCTGCTGTTGCCGAGATGATTGCAAAACAGCTGCGTGAAGATCCTGGAATAGAATGCAGGGAATTCCAACTGCTACCAAGATGAGGTCGATCGATGAGCGACACCTGCACTAGAACATAGGGCCAGAGCTTGAGAAACATGTCGATGGCTTCGAGCTCAAACTCCACACCATCACAGTTCAAAGTTCGCATTGAACTTCGAACGAGGCTCCTTTCGGCCGACTGAACATCAAGTTTAACAAGTGGCGCTCTCACAGCGATCGTTACTCGAAATTCTGAGAAATGATCGCTTATTTACGTGGGCCCGGGACATGTACGTAGATTCAAACGCGTAAAGGTATCAGCCGCCAAACGTGGATGTCACCTCCGCATCAATGAAGCTGCTCAGCATCCGTGAAGGTGAACATAAAAACAAACAGATACTCAATAACAATATAACTTCAAGGAATACGAACTATTTTATTTCCTGAAGCTCTAAACTGGATAGAATCTCTTTTTTGTTGGCTTTGCAGGAAAAACGTGAAAGGGGCATCAACATCAGAAAGGTCATGTTGAATGTACCCGGAAGCTAGATCGCCCATAGGGGTGAGGTGATATATGCATGGCCATGCCAAAAGGAGCATGGATCATGATATAAATACCAATGAAAAGTGCTTGTATCAGAACAGAATTAGCGAATTTGGAGGGTAACAGATATGAATTTAGAACATAGGCTGAAAGATTTTGTCATGAAGTAGCGCCGCCGGCCTCTCTGCATAGTGTTTCTGCGATGGCTTTGGGACCTGAGAATTGCACAAGCTGAAAGTCGCATTTCAAAGCACAAAACATTCATGCCTCAGTCATCGCAGAGTGGCATGTTTCATGTTCCCCCACCCATGCAAGCTCAAGGGAGGAGCCAGACCACAGGCATCATGTTTGCGGACAAAATTCAAAACGTGATTTCCCATGCCCGTCAGTTTGTCTATGAAACGCATAACAAACTTTGTAGCAGTGCGAAGAAGTGCATTGTGGTGTCTCCAATTGTGCATTTACATGAAACGTGTGCAAATTGATCGAGCCATCATTCGGGGATTGAGCTGGAGGGAAATCCAAATAGGGGTGGAAAATTCAGACTTTGAAAGCTTTCTCATCTGCAATTCTGCCAGTATAGGTTTCAGTTTCACGTCTGCAAACTCCATGCGTTGAACGCCAGAAGTCTATCAATAGCTGTTTCACTGGTGGTCATCGAGTTAGTGCTGATGAAATCGACATCTCAGAGTTACCGACGTCTTAGAGGCAAAAGGAGACTTGTAAAACAAAAGGAAGTATGCTTCTCAGCCTCAGTGCACTTTCTGCTGGACCGGCCGAAGTCTACGATGCCCACTGTTACTCCTGGACAGTAATTAATTCAATTAGAACAGCTAACTGCTCGACCTGCAACCAAAGGACACATCATTCGTTCAATTTACTGGGGAAAAGAACCTCTGTCTTAGTTGCGTGTGATATACCTCAATGGAATCGTTTGATGCAATCATTATGGTGATTTTTTGGTGAATGGTTTTTAGATAGCAGAGAGATCAACGACAGGACGTTTTCATCGTTAGTAAGAGACTCTTGTATAAGTTTACTTTGTAAAAGTGAGAGACACTCTCAAAATGCACCCAGCATGAACGAATTTGGCATAACGCTGAGTGGGAAAACTTCTTTCACCGAAAAATCTTGACAGACGTATTGAAAATATAAAATATTCAGATTTTTTGAATGAAGTGGGCTGAAGATTGTTTTACTGATCTAGCAAGAGGTATGGTATGGTATGGAATAAGTGGTATGTCACCCTAAAGTAGACGAGGAGAAAAGCAATAGCTTGGCTCACATAATACTAGACTAGCTATAAGCTTCTCACCAGGCTTGATTCTAATGAGCAAGCGCAAGTTTTGTTTCTGCGGAGGGCCAGGAATTACGAAGCTGCGTTGCCCAATTACACTTGGTTTTCGATCCTCGGTCCATGCCGAAGTGGCGAGCAGGTTCTGAAGATAAGCAGTTAAGTTCCATCCATGAATCTCGAAGGTTTTCTGCGCCTGCAGTAGTCTGGGAATCGATACAGGCTAAGAACTGCAGGGAGCCACAGCAGCCAAATCAACCAAATATCAATGTGCACATCCACTTTGGAATCCCATCGGCTGTACCTGCCCGTTTGTCGCTGTTGCTGTAGAGAGCTCCAAGAAGTCAAGGACAGGACTAACTTAGCGGAGATGATCAGCAGGTTCCAAAGACCTGGCCAGCCCACCTGCTCCCATGCCTTCGTTCACTTTGGTAGAAGCTTTCGCTCGTTAATCTCTTGGCCCTCCTATTTCGTATTTGGGTCGGAATGGGAAGGCCGAGAGAGAAACCGTACAGCGGATAATTATATCTAATATCCATTCTGCACCCAAGTACGATTCTCAAGTTGAATCCACATTTGCGTCTTCCTATTAATTGGCAAGTGCAAGTCTCATTTGAGGCAAAAAGTTGGTGAAGTTTCTCATTGTAGTTGGACGAGTTTAGTGAATTATGGCCTTCACTACATACGTCGTGAGAGTCCAAAAGCAATTCAACTGCAACATTTCTCTGGCGCTGCTGGAGCCCCATAATCGAGGGTTTTTAGCATGGCACATGACGGTTTATATTGTCCTAGATGAGTACAGTCGTCGATGATTCCAAAGTCATGAACTTTATGTGATCCATTTTTTTGGATAAAATCGCAAGAGCTCGAAGTATTAATAAGAGATCCGTTGACTCCGTGTCCACAATGTCAGATCTTTTATTTTCCCGGATCCCTATATTTTGGCAGAACTGTCTATCCATTTTGGATATAATTTGTGGGATGGGGACCACAGCAAACAGGATAAGTCCCACGGCTGAGGGTTTTTCCACAACAGAGGCAGTCTTTATTGGCCGGGACAGAACTATCGCCCAGCTCAAACCCTTATGATCATTAAGGATCTCTCGGCCGAGAGATCCTTGATAAAGTCGGTACTTCATATTCTGACCTGGTGGCAGTTCGATACCTCCTGTCTGGTGTGGATCTCTAGCTAGCCACAAAACTTGTGTCGAGCGAACATTTTATTTTTGAAGCCCAGTGACCACGGAGCAACTGCTGCAGGCAATAGGACCGAGATTTCACTTCTTTATTAAGAGCCTCGACCTTCCCTGCTGACAATCAGCATTTGTCAGAGCGAGGGTCTCACACACTGAGTTGCCCACCGAGGTCTGTGAGCGCATCTTCTAGCACTGATCGCAGCTCAAGAGTCAGGCTTGGATTTCAGAGTTCTCTGAGCTCTTACTTATCGCATCCGCATCTCGTTAGTGGGCTGTATTTTCTATAGAAGCAGAGAGTCTTGGAACTTTGGAAGAAGTACTAATAGTTGTTGGAATGAATTTGTACACCTTTGTCCTAGTGACATTCACCATTTGAAATTTGTTGAGAGAGGTAAGAATATTAGAAACCATATGTTTTATACGTCACGGGTGGTTACCTAAGGACAAGCTGACTTAAGGGTAGAGTTGTTCAAGCAAGTCTTAATAGAATTGTGAGTGCAGGCATTTTCATACCAGATGTAGCAATGCAGCAATTAATGGAAAGAGCTGGCAGATTTTTTCAACACGGAAGGCATAATGTGCCGGCCTTTACTTAGACTAGTTCCAACTTCTTGTTTTTTTCTCAGAAAGACATTGATGCAGTTATTTGGAGTTCGCGACTTGCCATGCTTTGAAGCGTGGAAAAGGAATTGCACATGAAACGGCCATTTTCACCTTCTACCTGATGAAGAAACTGTACACACTTGTCCGCAAAACGCAATCGTCTTATTTGAGAAAGCTCGAGGCTATAATGAACAATTATAATAATACACTGTCAGTGGATCTGATCGGTGTCTATGACAGGCATGATTATTGTAATAATCATGTCCTATACAAAACTTTGGGTCTGAAGGGTATAAGAGCTTCGAAAATCCGTCGCGAAGCAAATAAACTCAGTCCCTTCCGGAAATTTACACATCTCAGAACTGTAATTGAGATCTAGTTCGTGTGTCAGCAGAACTAAACTATTTGTGGTCTGATCTGGCTACAGGTCCAATAGGAAGCTCGAAGAACGAGTTCTGCTTGTTTACGATCTGAGCCAGAGCCAAGTACCATGCAATGAAAGCTGTAATGATGCCGAAAATACCACCAGCCTTCGTCATGTCTTTGTCTAGTGAGAATTCACCTATGGTCAGCAGGAGGAAAGTGATGGACAGCGAGAAGAACAGGCTGGTGAGGCACACGTTCGTTCGCAGGGTGGCTAACCACATCATGAAGGTGAAGATGGTCCAACCCAGCAGCCAAAGCCCCAGAGCTTCATTGTAGTCGACTAGAGACTCGCTGGCTACAAAGGCAGCACGAACACCGAAGGCCGGGATCTGAATCACAGCGAACGACAGCCAGAATGCGCCATATGACGAGAATGCAGTAGCTCCAAAAGTGTTACCGGCTGAGAACTCCCACATTCCAGCGAGAAGTTGCGCCAATCCACCGTACCCAGCAGCCAAACCTGTGACGACAGTATGAGGAGCACTCTGTGGAATAATCACTCCAGCGTTGTGGCAAGACAGCACAAATGTCGTCAAGGCGAATCCCATGAGCCCCAGAGGAGCAGGGTTCGCAACCACTGATTTGGTTTGAATAGGTCTGGACAGTATATCCTCCAATCGAGACGCCCTTTCCAAATCACGTTCTTGCGTTGGGTACGACATTGTCGATATGCTCACGGTCCTGCACAAGAGAAGCTTGTGGGTTTTTGAATCCTGTCAGAAGGAGCTTAAGCGGACGGGAGGAAACTCACAGTCACTCTCAATGTCGGGTAGAGAAGCACGACTGGAGGTCGAGACTGCTGCTTCCGGATTAGCTCCGAGTACGATTGCAGCAAGTCAAGACTGATTCCCCAGTACGAACATGCTTCAAGCAGCTGACTTATATACATTCCGCAGGCCATATCAACGCCAGCCTGTAGACAAGCATGCCAAAATCAGCTTTCGACAGTATCTGCTATTCTGGCTTCCTCTGACAATGCTGTGTATTTCTATAACCTTCAGATTCTCCGAGAGAGGACAATGATGGATAGTGTTACCCAGTTGGGATAGAGCAGTTTTGCACGCTCACTTTGCTCATGTGCTAGAGGCTCGCAATTATCTTGGAAACTTACTACCTACCACCGTTTCGGCGGTTCTGACAGCTCTAAGCATTGAATCACATCCTTTCTCCTACTTTGTGATGTGCTCGCGAGCTGGAACGAGAGAGCAGCCACCATCCTTGTAGCAGGTTTGGTCTCTTCTTTTCTCCGTTTCAGCTATAGATGGGCTTTGGGAGACGTCCATTTTTAGACATTTTTCCAAGCTCATCACCTAAGTACATCACGGATATAAAAGAAGGAATGTATTGTGTCGTCGATATAATTAGTGGTAACAAGATCAGATTATTCATTGCACGCTATTTAGCTCTACGTGCTTACCAACTTTCTGGATTCCATTGGATGTTCTCCTTGTAGATGATAGGTTTGGCAAAGCGTTTTCCTTGTGACTGCGTCATGAACTGATATTCAAGAATGAGGCTAGGATTGCTCAAGGTCTTCTCTAGTGGATAGATCTGCGCGTGTGGTCCTTGGAGTACAGTGGCCATAGCTGCACATAACATGTTCGGCACCTAGGCATGTGCAATTTCTAAATTTCACCTACTCCAAATGATATCAGTTACCTTGAGGATGAGAAATATTAATATGATCGGCGATGCATTGCCGGAGCATGGAAGTTGAGTTCACTGCAATATATGCATGATTAGATGGAACTTGTTGATCCCGCCGATTTCATCTCTCGTAGAACTGTCTGAGAATATGTGTAGGGTTGTACTTATCATTCACAGAAACTTACTTGTTCTTGCACAATGATCCATCCACCAACAAAAACTTGAGGTTTTCATGAATATTTGAAGTCGATTGGAAGCTCCATGAAATGAGTTTTACCGTCGTCACATTCGTAATCTGCTGACTAGCCTTTCAGAGCGCAGCATTATCGTACAGGTTCAATTCATTCAGGGAAATCATGTCGGCTTTGTACCAAGCACAGAGCACAACATTTCAATCAAGACGAAGCTACCTGTGCCTCAGATCTACATATTTTCTTGATGGTCTTTTCCTGGGTTTAATTTATGCTGTTCTTTCAAGACGGTAACTGTTCGCGAAACAGGTTTCTAATTGTTATAATCATTTCAAAAAATCCTTGATTTCGGCGTTTCAATGTACCTAAGGAACTCAATCGAAGCTACCGTGATGATACAAGTGGCGCTGACAAAGTACAGATTGCACGGTAAAATATTAACTTTTTGACGTTGTTAGCTAAAACACAGTGACTGCAGTAGCTAGAATGGGGAGAGCTGATTATTGAGCCTTCTCTCGTGATTCTACCTGTACGACATTGTGATTCATACATCGAAGTCTTACACAGTTGGAAGCAGGTAGGTGAAAACTGCCGAACATTGTTCATACCTGACCTAAAGCAATTGCTGAGTTCGAGAATAGTGAAGATTTATTTGTGATATATGTATTCCTTACCCAGTAGCCTTTATCACTTGCATTTTGATGTTTACAGAACGAGCAGCTCTGTCCCTGAGCACGCTGCTGATTGATTCTTTCTAACATTGAAACGCTGCGGGGTTTATGAATCCTTCGGTCACATCGAAGTACATGTCATACGTGCCGTGTTTGTTTTCCAGAAAAGTTCAGCAAAAATTGCTGAAGGTTTTGAAGAGACTACGAAACAATGTGGTTCTGTGGCATGCTCTGTCAGACAGAAATCAATCCTCAGTTTTGTGAGCTCGGAGTAGGTTTATAGCCTGAAATGAAATTATCGCGAATGCAACGGAGATATGGATACTCTCGAAGAATACAGGGCCAAGTCCACAATGCGGCACCTGAACTGGTCTGCTGGAGGACGAAATAGAACATACACCTGCAATTGAGACTTCGGCACTCAAGCTGCAGGAAAGAATTACCAGACGAATGACAATATTAACTAGACCTGCGGGAAGAGTCTATACCGAAAGCGAGCTGCAGTCTTCTTACATCTGTAAAGGCAGCTTCCCCATCTCCCAAGGGAAAGAAGAATTTGTCACGTTTAATAATTTGAGAAAGACAGCCGGGTACCAAGCCATGGGAACAGTGAAGGGGCTGCCGGGTCTGGTGACGTGCTTGCGATGTGCAGGCTCACGACGGTGAGCAGGAGGAAGGTGACGGACAGCTAGAAGAAGAGAGAGGTGAGGCAGATTTGGTGTGCAGAGTGGCGACCGACATTATTCAGCCGCAGCCCCAGGGCTTCAATCCAATCGACCATCTGATTGGTGGCCACGAACACATCAAAAAACAGAGACAGTCATCCCGCCGCAAGCCCCGTCATAACTGTGTTGCGAGCCGATGGATCGGCTTGAAGAATGCCCTTTTTGAGGAGAGGAAGGAGATGCTAGGCTGGCGATGGCTTCCAAATCGATCGATGAGCTGACGGGACAGGAAAAAAAACTCTTCCATGACTGACATCAGCAATCTGAGCATGATTACGTGTCCATTTGTCTTGAATCACGTGTCAGTTTTCTGTCAGCTTGATAGGCCAAGTGATCAGGTTCTGGCGTTCATCTGCAAACGCGGATCCCTCCCACAAAAATAGTCCGCCTTCCATTTGTACTATTTCTATGTGGGTAGATCTTCTGCTACTGCTGCCGCCGATGATTCGAATTAGGCACGTCGTGAAGAGCCTGGAATAGAATCCAGGATATCCCACCTGCTACAAGGGTCGATTGATAGATGACCTGCGCCCGCAGTAGAAATTATTTGGCCCTGACCTTCAGAAATATTCGGATGCTCTCGAACTCAAGCTCAAGACCATTACAGCAGTAGAATTCAAAGTTCAGTGGAACGAGCTTCTGCGGGCCGCCGGAACGACAGTTTGTGAAAAGCGGCGATCTCACAGCGACCATGCTTGGGATCAATGTCGGATCGGTCATCTACTTCGGGCCAGGACTTGTGCAAAGATCAAGACCTGTAGATTTATCAGACGTAGCTGCCCCCTCCGCATGAGTGAATCCGAGCTGGTACACTTCAAAACGAGCACATGAATGTACTATCAACTTTGATCTCAGTAACTTCGAGACTGCTAAAGCTCTGCACTCGTCCAAATCATTTGTGTCAGCTTGGCAGGAATCACACGAAATTAATGGGCGTGTTCAATGTACCTGGAAGGTAGAGGGAGATATTGCATGGCCCGTCAGCCGGGGCAGAGGCGGCCATGGAGGTCGTTCCGGTTATTTTTATTTTTATAATCAGTACTTTTCTATTCTTTGAAAACATAGGTTTTTATTCATTTAAATTTTCCTATAATTTTTATAATTAGTATCAATTACCCAAACAACCTCCCCATGTACAGTATAGATAAACGAGTTGATAACTGTTTACTAAATAACTTGCATAACTTGAGCATAAAAAAATATCATTTGCTTCAAGTCTAGTTCCATGAGATCCACTCGAGCTTGAAGCTCTAACCATATGACCTTTGTATACCACAAAGATTTGTAATTGTAACGACGGTTTACTTCACACCAAAAACTCCACCTATACATGAAGAATCCTACCTGTTTACTTGATGGGACCTCACGTGAACCTAAATTGATGGATGGAACCTATCAAATTTAGTTTTACCTGATGCGATGCCACCGAAGGCACCGTCGCCAACCTCTGAAAGTTGTTACTGTACACTAAAGCTCGCATCATATACGAACTTTAGTGAACCTCTGAGATCTCAAATATCATAAGATGAAATGTGAGAGACATTGTCATAGAGTTGCATAGAGGTTTTGGGTTTTGAGCTGTTGGAAAGTAGACTTGTTGCTCAACGACGGACGTGTGAAATCGGTGAGTAATAGTGGAGTAGTGGAATCTAAGAAGTAAATTCACAATGTCGTGCTAATATGTTGTTGAGTTTAACTCCGATTATGGAGTAACCTCATATGTAACTATTTGTAGCGGAGATTGATCGCCTACCTTAGGTATATATACCCTAATGCTTCTGCGAATGAGCACATTTTTTCACTTCAAGTAGTAAGCTCTCTGGAGTGTATTCTTTCGTGGACGTAGCCTCTCAGGGTGAACCACTTTATCGTGTTGTTGTTTTGCTCAGTGTGAGATTTACCGTTAGATATGTTGCCATACACTTTACATCGCTAACACGCTACTCACACAAACACATAGGACACGAGACCGTACACACTCAAATTACCACAACTGCTAGTATATATTTTTATATACACTATATTTAGCCAGCAGCCTAGGATTACATTTCATAAAGGGTATGAATCGAGGACGATTCGAGGAACGTTCAGACTTGATTACCCCACTGGAAAAGAGACCGTCACACACACATGCAATCGAGCCCAACCCACTCGTCTTGAAAATCCAGCTCGACGCTTACGGCACTCACTAGTCCCAACACTATAGGCTCGACTCAAATAACTGAACATTCTTCGAGTTGTCGTAAACTCTACCCTCCGTTAAGGGTATCCCGAGGCCAAAGGCTAAATATAGTATATAGTATATACAAAAATACATGAAAACAAGGAAGAAAGCGGAGTACTTGTGAATTCAAGTGTAATATCTGAATTCAAGTGAATTCAGGTGATTTTACAAATTTTGGTGCAATGGGAAAGTCTCGGAGTAAAAAGATTCCTAGTCTGATTGCACTCAGTGGAGATTTGAACAATTCAATGAGTATAAGGAGAGAGTCTCGTTGTCACAGTTCCGCTACCTACACCCTCTGTAAATACTAAAAAATGCGTGATGTGTACATTAGGAGGTGTCCCATCGGATAAAACAAAACTTAAAGTATCCTAATAAGCACTTTAGGTTTAGATGAGGTTTCATCAAGTAAATACTTCTGAAAAATCCTCTCTAGCTCTTTGTCTTCATCTCTCTCATAGATACTATATTTGAAGTCTTGGTTTTTTTTCCCAAAAACTTTTGACTTCAACATACTAGTGAGTAGAAACCTCTATTATGATCTTGTAGACACATGTAGATTGCAATCTACATATGTGACATCTCATCTTTTGATGAGATGGCACATCATCAAAAGTTTTCAATACATGTCAAACAATCCAAGTTCATAGTGTGATTCAACACTTGACATTGTGATGACTTCAGCAAGTTCGCAAAGTGTTCTAGTATTATTGCAATAACCCATAAATCATGTACCTTCTTAAGAGTTGAAATCCACTAACCGCTGAAAAGCTAGATTCTTATGCAAAACTTGATTTTTCCTCTCTCTTTATGTGCGAAAAGTGGTAAATTAAACAATTTGAATTATATAGCTCTGGTATAATTCACAAATTTTATTCTACTTTCGAAAATATATATAAGTTTTAGATTTTTTGTGTGAGTTATTAAGTTCAAGTTCTCTCCTCCCCAAATCCCTTTCTGTACTTTCAACAGACTTCTCAAAGGTTTTCTAGTTTTTGAGAAAACTTCACCAGGTTTTCATGGCTATTGACTTAAGGAATCAAAATTGATTATTTGACTACGGCCAAAACAATAATATGGAGAAGCGCCAAAACATCAAAGTCAATGTGTCCATAGAAACTGCCAAAGCAAAAATGCTGGTACAAAGTGCCCAAATCAAAGTATAGAAGGTACAAATCCAAAGTATTGATATGAAATGCCTAGAAAAAAACGAAAAAGTGCCACACCAAAGTCAAATTGCTGTTAGAAAGTGGCAAAGCCAAAGTGCAAAAACGCGTTATCCAAAATGATGGTACTTTGTGTCGAATTGAAAGTGCCGAAACCGAATGTTAGCTCTAATGTTCATACTCTTCAAATTATTCACGTCATGATTCATAATAATCTTGACTTGAAAAATTATTCAAAAGTTAAACAATACCTTTCATACGATAAATGTACTCAACAACATACAGTTTAGTATTCTTAAAATTACTCTTGAGTGAGAATTTTGTAGTATGTTGTTAAAAATTGATAATATACAATGCACTTGATTATAATGTGTAGCACTGGATGTCATCCTAAATGTTACCTATCTCTCACACAACTTTGTAAAAATATTCTTCAAGCTAAGTTGAATCACTCTTTAACATACATTCAGATTATTTTTTGAGCTACAAATGTACTAGATATGAACACATTTTCTTAAAGTTGCGTCCACCGTTTTGTATCTATGAAAAATATTTAAAAACTATTTCATGAATCTTAGTTCTTTTAAAAAAATTGCTACTAAACAAATTTTTACTTCAAAACATCCCGTTCGTGGAGGAGGCGGCGGCTTTGGTGTAAACTAAAGGGTGCCCTTTCATTTACACCACCAAAGCCACTGCGTCCTCAATCAGAAACATAACTTACTCGATTTCATCTATTATGATCATCGTTGGCTCCTCCGTTCTTCACGCCGTTTGTGGAGAGGCTTTAGATTTGATGGCGTAAATGAAAGGGCACCTCATGGAGGGTATGGCAAAAAGTGATACTCTTAATGTAGATGTAGAGACGGCCATGGAGTTCGTAATGGCTATTTTAACTTTTATAATCGGTATTTTTATATTCTTAGAAAACATAGGTCTTAATTTATTTAAATTTTCCTATAATTTTATAACCAGTATCAATTTCCCAAACAACCTCCCCATCGTTGTTCTCCATGTTCTTCGTAAAGATCAACGATGGTCATAACAACGTACTTCGTGACGTTTGTGGAGGAGGAGGCGGTCGTTTTGGTGGTATAAATGAAAGTGTGCCCTTTCATTTACACCACTAAAGCCGCTGCGTCCTCAACCAGGAACATATTTTGCTGCAAAACTCTTAGTTATTTTTAAAGATTCGATATTGACAAATTTTTAATTAAAAAAATGCAGTGTAACACTTGGTTTGATTTATAGATTTGCTTTAGTTCTTCCGACATAGTATAGAATTACAATATAGGATATAAATGTTTTCATTGATATTCGATTGAACCGGAAGCAATTACCAAGACACAATGATTTACACGTAACAAAAATTTGAACTTGATAATCTATTTCAGAAAAGTGAAAAAACTTACTTGTTGTAATGTTAAATTTTTTTCATGATTACATAGCAGTATCTTTAACTCTGTGTTTGATCAATTTATAACGGATAAAAATATATAAATAAATTGATATTTTACAAAAATAAATTTTTTATCGTATACAAATATTTTGAAATTTTTTTTGAACTGCCGCTATTTAAAAAAAAATTTAAATTAAGGAAGTTTCAAATTGCATGACAAAATCTAGTTTAAAATTTGATATGCTTTTCAACATTATGCAAAATCTTAACAATGTTTTATGCACATATGTCCACATCATAATTAATATTATGATTTGATATAATAAAAAAAAATTGCATGAAAATATTGGTGTTGAAAATACATTCTAATGCAATATAATAATATAAATGTTTTTCAAAAACAGTGCAAGATTTTAATTTATATTGAAAGTATTGAGATTATTAAATAAGTTTGAGCTTAAATTTAGAATGTGGTTGATATCAGCATTTTATGGAAAAAGATAAGAATAAAAAAAAAATTGTAAACTTGGATCTCACTGCCATACATTATTTTAATGGTCGTAAAAGTGAAAGCATTGAAACTTTTGAAACAAAATCGTTCTTTCGTGCACGTCACGATGGTAAATGGTACAATTGATGTAATCATTTCATTTCTCGCTTCAATATAGATACGTGACTTTAATAATTCAAGCTCTCTCCTCCACCGTACATACATTATTTGGGGTCAATCTACTCTAGAAAATAGAATGCGCATCGTGCCAATGAAAGGGTAACCGAAGCCAATGAAGCTCTGCCTGCAACAGGGTAGCTAAGTTCTAGCTAAAACATGATTTGTCAGCAGCGTTCGAAGAAGATGGCTGATAAGACTGCTTTTTACTAAATAAAAAGGAAAATATTGATAGTTACCTTCACAACAGTCCCGTCTTAAAAGTATGAAAAGCACTTCTTTCGACAAATGAAACTTTTCTCTCAAAGCGCGTTTGGTTTATCATTGGAGGAAAAATTGTACGGCTTTCTCAAGATGGATCTTCAATGCTGGAAGTGCTCCTCGTACAATGAAAACAACTTTAGGCTTAAATAATTTGGATCCGGATTGTAAGCAAATTCCTTGATGTACGTGATATTATATTAAATTAAAATTAGAGCGGTACATGCATGTATATTTATGGCTGGAAATTTGTTTTTTTATGTTTTGAAAGCTCTTGAAAGGTTATCACAAATAGGAAAATTTGTCCGTAATTTTGTCCATAAAATTCTCGGGAGTTGCTTCCATTCGGATCAGGTTAGAGTGTTCATCGTGTTATAGTGGATGGATCCTACATCTCATTGATTACGCTGTGTCTAAAAAAATATACTGTGTTTAATATTCTGATTATCCATGGTCACTCTCGAACTATGTGGAAATTTATTAAAATTATAAACCTTGAATTTTGCCCGCAATACAATAGGAGTTTCACTTTTTTCTGGTGCACAAAACCAATTTCTGATGCCCGGTAAAGTTTTTTACACCGGGTGCCCAACTTGATGATGACTTTATAGATGGTACTCTTAATAATTCGTTAAAAGATTATGGCAGCTGTATATTTGGAAGGATACCAAAAAAAAATTAGAAATTTATTTATTGCTTTGAAAAGAAGATCAGTAAAAGTAATATATTTCTTATTTCGAAACTCCCTCAAATATAATGAGGACAACGTAAGGACGATAGTGAAAATCATAACTACTTTAGTACAGTATTTAATGATTGTAGCCTCATGTCAAGAACGCATGTAGAACAACAATAGTCGAGGCATTTGTGTACAGTGTGGAGTGGAACCTTTTATAGAATGCAGACTCTAGACTCCGATTATTTGGTTGGTGAAAATTACGTTCAGACGTGCTGAATAGTTGATAACTCATTCGAAGGTTTCCTCTCTATTATGATATTATATTAATATCTTGGGAATATCACCGCACTGAGCGCATATAAATTCGGCGATTGGGGTCCAGTTCTCTCAAGCTACTTGAATTTCATCTCAGTGGCATTCGCACCCAAGAGACAGAGAGTCTCACGGCCTCTGCCGTGACGAACGCGATAGTTCGAGAATTGTGGATCAAATTCGATTCCCACGGGATTAGTGGCAGCAGAATGAGGACCAATCATGAGTGGATGATTGGGAGAGGAACTTCTCTTTGGGCCATGCGATTTTCACTCTTGCTATTTGTTTTGATTCTGGGCAGTGTGGAGTTCATCGCTGTTTCAGGAAGTGCTTTGCCGGCGAGCCAGAACAGAAAGCTCCTCCAAATGTTGGAGTCGCCAAGTCTGCCGCCGATTACTCTTCCGACTAACTCCCACAGGAAGTCCCCGCCACCTCCTCCTAAAGGCAAGTCCCCTCCCCCTCCTCGAGATGAAGATAAGTCACCTCCTCCACCGAAGGGCAAGTCTCCTCCTCCTCCACCTCCTCCTCGGGGTGAAGATAAGTCACCTCCTCCTCCTCCTCGTGGTGAGGGTAAGTCACCTCCGCCACCTCCCCGAGGTGAAGTTAAGTCACCTCCTCCTCCTGAAGGAAAGTCCCCTCCCCCTCCTCGGGGTGAAGATAAGTCTCCTCCTCCACCGAAGGACAAGTCTCCTCCACCTCCTCCTCTAGTGAAGTCATCCCCACCACCACCAAGAGACCCGTCCCCTCCCCCTCCTCGAGGTGAAGGCAAATCACCTCCTCCACCGAAGGACAAGTCTCCTCCACCTCCTTCTCTAGTGAAGTCACCCCCACCACCCCCAAGAGACCCGTCCCCTCCCCCTCCTCGAGGTGAAGGCAAGTCACCTCCTCCACCTCAGGTCAAGTCTCCTCCACCTCCTCCTCGAGGGGAAGATAAGTCTCCTCCTCCACCTCCTCGAAATGAAGTTAAGTCACCTCCTCCTCCCAAAGGGAAGTCCCCTCCCCCTCCTCGAGGTGAAGATAAGTCCCCTCCCCCGCCCAAAGGGAAGTCTCCGCCGCCACCAAAAGAAGACGAGGACGACGACGAGGACGACAAGGACGACGATTGATCTGGGCCAACATGCAGACCTCGGATCTGTTTTACAGGTAACTCTCGTCCGCCACCATACCTTGCAAGCGATAAGCTCGTTATGACAGTGGTTGCAGGACCTGGTTGCATGTCAGCGTGTTTGCTTGTACTGACAATATGCAATGAGTTGATTCCGTATTCTGTCTTAGCTCTTGCTGATTTCTCTGAGTCATTTTCTTTCGTGGAATTTGTACTTCTGTGCAGATTCTGTTAAAATAAATTTGATGACGCGTTCTTCAAAGCGGGAGGAGTTTATCGTATAAGAAAACCATCGCTTCAAAGCTGCTTCGGCTGCGGTAAATAATCGATCTCGATCCCGGTCACCATTGTCTCGGGCAAGACCGTCTCCGTCTCGTGGACCATTTGGACTTTGAATTCGTTCCAGTTAGGCACATACGACCTACCTTTTTACGAGCGGGGAGAGTACGAAGTCCTAGCATCTCCAATAAGTGGAAAACATTAGAATTGTAGATCCTGATCCATTAAACAACAACAAAAGGTGCAATTTGAGCACATGTTATTTCTCTCTCTGAAATTATTCTGCGTGGGCAAGGCATTTTATATCAAGGTAACGAGTATATGAGTGACATATCCTTGTGTGACGTGCATTAATGTCTCTAGCCAAGTGAACGCACAATGTTTGCTGCATAGCTAGCTTTCAACTGCTGAAGTTCTTGTCGTTGCTCAATTGATACGATTCTTTATGCCGCTCCTTTTACTGTCTCTGTCAAATCCACATGCTGGCTCTCTACTTCTTAATTCATGTGCAGTTTCATCCGGAGGACGTTTGTGCATGAAGAAAAACCGAATCTGCATATGATGCATGTGAGGTGGAATTTTTTCTGCATGAAGAAAATTACGTAAACTATTCACTCTATTGGCCTCCGCGTAAAAAACACAATCAGATACTAATCGCTCTATTTGTCGACATGTTGTCCGAAAACGGACATTTCCTAGTCCTATATAGAAAAAATCCACTGTAAATGCGTTGTCATGCTCACAACCGACAGAACTGTTTGGAGAGAAACTCGTGCGTGGGGCTCTTGAGATCGACTGGATGACAAACACTCATGAATACCTTTAGCGAGAGGAATTCTTTGAGTGGATGATATAGAGTGACCAAGTAGGCGGGTAATGTGACGGACCACACGTTTCCCAATAGCAGAAAAACCAATGATACATGAGATTTCATGTTTCATTGATGTGTATACATCTATTTTGATTCTTCAAACTGATCTGATATCTGGACTGCACTTGTTTCCACACTTGTGACAGAAAGCTGATGTAAACATGGACAAGAGAAACGGGATTCTTAAGACATGCATCAATTATTCTAGAATATTTTATTGCAGTTCCAGAAAGCAGTCCCCTAATATTGTATTTCATTGTGATTTATTTGAAGATATTGTTACCCAGGAGTTAAATCAGAGTTGATTCATGTCCTTCATTTCATACACGTTAGCCTTCGCTGGACCAGACTAATCAACTTTTGGGGGATAATGGTCAGCAAAATATTGAAATTTTTTTCCCCTAATTTAATTTTTTACCATCTTCCATCATCTTCAAAATGTCATGAACATCACAATTTAGTTACCCTGGGTTCTGAATATTCTGAATCCTCCCGATATGCCTTCACCATTCTTGATTCAAGATGTCTGTTGCATTACGGTTTGCTGCCAGCCAAGACGTCGTAGTTGTATTCAAGAGAAGGAGCGGGAAGATTGTTAGAGTTGTGTTCTATCATGTGCTGTTTATTGAGGAGCAAGGCAATTTATGGCGGGAGTATAAGAAAAGAAAGCCGGGAGAACTAAACATACTACCAAGAAATCGCAGTACACTTCTGCTGCAAAGCAGGCTCCGGTCCGGCTTCTTACGAAGACGACTCCACTAGTTGAAGCGGTGAAGGAACAGAGAGCCCTCAACAAAAGTGGGAGTGGACATGGAGGAGGCCAGGCCGAAATCATAGTGGGTTTTGCAGTTATCGCGATGGAGAGTTTCAATGCAAGATTGACTTCCCTCGGGAATCACAGAAATTCCAAGAGAAAACAATAGTCATACGAGAGTAAACCGCGTAAGTTATGTTCTTGATTGAGAAGGCAGCGGCTTTAGTGGTGTAAATGAAAGGTCACCTGATGGAAAGTATGGCAAAACTGGATCCTCTTAACGCAGCCGGGGTAAAGGCGGCCATGGAGATCATAACGGCTATGTATAACACGATGAAGGTCATCAAGGACGAGGCTAGCAGAGAGTAGGAGGCGGCGTCTCTTAAGGCCGCCTCTACCAGCTCCATTAAGAGTATGAATTTTGCGATACTTTCCATGAGATGCACTTTCACCTACACCATCCAAGCTGCCGCCTCCTCCTCCACCAGCGTCTTCGACGACCTTCATTGTCTATAGCCGTTACGACCTCCTCGGGCCGGCTCTACCCCGGCTGCAATAAGGATAAACATAACTTAAAGTAGCTTATGATAAGCTATCTTTATGTTATCTCAATGTAATCATAATTAAGTCTAATCATTTTGTTCATATAATAATCAAAGTAGAAAAAAATTTAATTATTAATATAAATATAAATGCATATATTTTCCATTCATCTCATGAGCAAGATTTAAATTGGGCTTTGTAGTGAAAAAAATGATCTTGAAACTGAATTTATACTCCCTAATGATCAAATAGATCAAATATTTTCTTCCCAAATTTTTAAACGGATGTAAAGTTGTCTAAATTTTTTGAATCATAGAATTACTAATAATTTTTTTTTTCTCTTTATTTACTAGAGTCATAACAGAACATCTAATCATCTTCTTAATCAAACTTCTTCTGAGATTCTTGAGAAAGATTTACTAATATTATAGCCATGGCACTGGGCTCCTCCAAGTGCAATTACTTTTTGGCATCTTGATTTAATTGCTAGATTCTCGTATTTCTTTAAAGCAAGAGCAATTTCAATGTAATTTCATTACATTGTAACCGTAATGAAGAATATTGTCTAATCATATAACATGAGCAGTATTCACAAAACACCATTAAAAAATAAATTGATGTTAATATTTCCGGTTGAGGTCTTTGATAAGTCTTGTACTTTTACAAGACAAATTTTAGTGTCTTGTTTATAAACTTACTCGTTCTCATTCATTGTTTGTTTGAATGGCCAAATCAGAACTTGAGAGGGAACCTGCATGGTACCCCAACGTAAAGAAGAATCTTGGCTCCCCGAGAACTACACTAACCAGCTAGAAGCGCAAATTCTGCTGTTGCAGATGCAGGGAATTACGAAGCTGCGTATCATGCTTATACTTGTCATCCGATCTTCGATCTATGCTGGAGTGGACGGCTCTATTTGCAGATCAGCTGTAAAGCATCATCCATGCATGTCGACGGTTGTCGGTGCCCACAGTTATCTGGAAAACAAGAACTGCAGCGAGCATTAGCAGCCAAATTTACGCAATATCAATTTTCCACTGACACTTCGGAATCACATCGGCTGTACCTGCACTTTTTTTGAAGAGACCTCCACCGAAAAGTCGAGGAGACGACCGACTGAATAGAGATGGTGAATGTATGGAAGCAGGTTCCAAACACCTGGCCGGCCCAACTGCTACCGTGCCTTCATCCAAGTTGAGTTTGGTAGAAAATTGAGCTTGCTTTAGGGAGGGCGCGCAGAGAGGAAGCATATCCAGTATACATGCCGAATCCAAGTTGAACCCACGTTTTCCCCTTCCTATGATCTTGGCAAGTGCAAGTCTCAGATGAGGCGAAGAGTTGGGTGAAGTTTCCAATGGTATGTGGACGAGTTTAGTGATTCCTGCACCGTGCTCCTGACTCTGTCACGAGAGACTGGAAACACTTCAACTGCTACAAGTTTCTGGCGCTCCCGGAGCCCCAGTAGTGAGGGCTTCCAGGTGCAGTACGTGAAGGTCTGTATTGTCCTGGATGAGTACAATTGTCGATGAGTCGACACTGATGAACTTTGTGTGATGGGTTTGAAATGGATTGTGGCTTGCAATTAAATATAGATATATATCGCAAGAGCTGGCAGTATAGGTATCGTTGACCTCTGAGAAGTTTTATGTGTTTCCTACCTATTATGCTGTTGGCAGAACTGTCTATCCATTTTGGATATAAGCTTTGGGCTGGAGGACGACAGCAATCGGGATGTGATTTAAGCACACTCATTGAAGCATACATGATTCGGATACGACAGAGTTTAAATTGAGGCGCTCGATGTTGACCTTTTGCATGGACACAAGTTGGTCGCCTGGTTGTCGACCAAAATGATGTCCTTCCCACATATTTCACAGCAGAAAAAACTTGAGTCGACCTTGTCAGAATGACTGACGCTCCTCGGTGATCCTAATAAGGATTTATATGCAGCTCTTACAACGCCTCTGCCGATGGGGCGAGCTCTGGCTTGCATAAGGATGAATGAATAATGGTTTCATTCGCACATTACCAGTGTTGTGTTTGCATGCGTTTGGTATCATGCTAGTGAGGTTAGACAATTACGAAGAATTACAAAGAAGTGATCAGCGATCTTGATTTCTTTTGAGTCTGGGCATGACCTCGTTAGCTTTTTAGATTCTTCAACGTAAACTACACTTGTCATTTTTTTCCTATCGTAAGACTCATTTTGTAAATACCAGAACATCAAGTTGTTCCCTCCGATTAGTGGGGCTTTTCACTTCACGTAATTCGAAGGATACATAACTGAACATTTAGAGATCTTCTGACTTAATGACTCTCATACGAATTTTCTTCTAGAGAGTTCATTCGCGCCTTTCTCAAGGAAGTGTGCAATTGTGGATGATTTCCAGACAATGCCAGCCCCATATATATATATATATATATATATATTTATTTATTTATTTATTTATTTATTTATTTATTTTCCATTTTTCCTTCCTTTGCTCATAGGCATGTTCAGATTAGATGAGACTGGCCGTGTGAGGAGCACCAGGAGGGATGAAGATTCCTGTATTCTGGCCCGACAAAACAAATTTGTGAATGTGAATTCGACTAGTCCTAAGATTGCGGAGTTGGCCACAAGACATGCAGTCTTCATCGGCCGGGACAGAACCTGTCTTCCAACTCGGACCCTTCCTGATGTAACACTTGCTACGAGAAATTTGTTAAGTCAGTCCTTCTTCATCTGATCTGGTGGCAGCGACCTGGTGTTTAGCTTGCTGCAAAATTTAGTTTCGAGTAGAACAGCTCAATTTTCGAAGTCCATTGATTGGAGAGCAGCTGCTGCAGTAAACAGGACGGGAGATTTTCTTCATCACAAGGAGCCTCGAGCTCTGCTGCCGCACATCAGCTGTAGTGGAGTGATGAAATGCACTCAGTGAGTTGCTTCAAGGTTCGTGAAAGCAGCTGCTAGCACTAACTGCAGCTCGAGAATGAGACTTGGGTATTTGAGCTCTGTGAGCTCGTACTTATACCGATCATGCAGCAGTTAGAATCAGATGAAGTGGACTCAAAACCATGCTCACCATGATGGAGATCCACAGTCCCCAAACATCTGCTTCTGCTCTTTGACTATTTGGAGCCTCCCTTGCCGAATATATCGAAAGGTCGTGACGCGCCGCAAATTTTCTAAGACATTCCGGATCTGTACATGGAAAGAGAGACAACTGAGAAAATTTAGGCATTCGAGCTATTGTGTCAGATGCGATATTTATGGGTGCATGACAATGTTTTTTGGATCGGAGAATACGAAGAGGCACAGTGAGGACAAATGAACATCCGACATGGATGTTCGGATTCCAGAATGGAATGCGATTGTCCATAAATAAGTCTATTTCCGTTTTAGGCGATTGTTGCTTTGTTGGCAGCCTGTAGAAGTTTCTCTTTACCAGCGTTGGTGTTTACTCGCGGTGCGTGCCCGGGACCTACTTGTTGCTGGCACATGTATATATACGTAGCACCAAGTTTCGTTCTATCTTTGGCCTCAGAATCAGAAGCTTTAGAGTGAGCAGGCATTGCAGACCGCTCTGTGGCTTCCGAAGTTGGCTAATTCCTGGCGCTTCGACAAGAGAATATACTTCTTAAGTTCAGTTGGCTTGCGTTATCCAGTTGCAAATATGCGTCACAACCAGCGTATTTTCCGCTTCTGTAAATTCATAGTTCTTCCATCGTCATGCAGACTCAAATTGGCTCAAGGAATCTTTGAGATGTCAAGTCACGTTTGTACCTTGGACCTGAATCTTGCTTCTGATTTGGAATATGGGTTGGACGCAGTAGTCTGCTCATCGCCAGTTGCAAATATGCGTCACAACCAGCGTACTTTCCGCTTCTGTAAATTCACAGTTCTTCCATCGTCATGCAGACTCAACTTGGCCCAAGGAATCTTTACAATGTCAAGTCACGTTTGTAACTTGGACCTAAATCTTGCTTCTGATTTTGAACATGGGTTGGAAGCAGTAGTCTACTCATCGACAGCAGCTTACTCATCAATTGAAGAATCGCGTCTATCTCAAGGCGTCCAACAAATCTTGGAATTGACCTCATACAGTATCAAGGGACGTAAATCTGGAATTAGAGAGACACAGAAGATAATAATATAAGATCAGTTAGAGCTGCGACTGTCATCAGATGGAACAAGATCAGTTTATTCCACCGATCGTTTAGATTGGTTAATTCACCAATTACAACTTCGGCTAATTTTCATCCAAAGTATTTTGAATTGGCAGCTCTTGTATGAAATCCCCTTTCCGAAGGCCAACGGATGTTTTGATTTTCCACTTAGCCAATTTTTGTTCCGATCAACATCTCGTAAGTAGATTGTAATTACTGATAGAACTTTCGTCCAAAACAGACTCACCGTTTGAAGATTGTTGAGAGTGGGAAGGACTTCAGAAACTTTATACTATACAAGTCACAGTTGATAATTGCAAAAGGCTACTGCCGGACAAGCTGACTGAAGATGAAGCTTTGCTCGACCAAGATTTGATTTTTGTTTCTTGAAATTCTATCTGGAGAATGACACACCATTTTCTAATACTAGTACATGAACCAGCCATTTTCACTTTCTGCCTGATATAAAAGCTGCACTCACTTTTTCGTAAAAGGCGATCATCTTATTAAGAAAGCTCGAAGCTACAAGGAACAATTTTTATAAAACACTGTCAGTTGATCTGATCAGTGACTATGACATGTATGAATCATTTCCTAGTCATGTTACAAAAGTTCTGGAATCTATCGCTAATCAGAAGAACCTCAAATCTGTTTCGGAAATTTACACATCTTACAACTGTAATTGAGATCTAGTCTGTGTGTCGACAGATTGAACTACTTGTGGTCTTTACTGGGCATAGCTCCAATTGGAAGCTCGAAGAACGAGTTCTGCTTGTTGACGATCTGAGCCAGAGCCAAGTACCATGCAATGAAAGCTGTAATGATCCCGCAGATTCCACCAGCCTTCGTGATACCTTTTTGTTGTTCAAATTCACCGACGGTGAGCAGAAGAAAAGTAACGGTGAGCGAGAAGAAGAGGCTCGTGAGACACACGTTGGTTCGCAGGGTGGCCAACCACATCATGAAAGTGAAGATGGTCCAACCCAGCAGCCAAAGCCCCAGAGCTTCATTGTAATCGACTAGGGAGTCGCTGGCCACAAATGCAGCACGAACACCGAAGGCCGGAATCTGAATCACAGCGAACGAAAGCCAGAATGCGCCATATGACGAGAATGCAGTAGCTCCAAAAGTGTTACCGGCTGCAAACTCCCACATTCCAGCGAGAAGTTGCGCCAATCCACCGTACCCAGCAGCCAAACCAGTGACGACAGTATGAGGTGCACTCTGTGGAATAATCACTCCTGCGTTGTGGCAAGACAGCACAAATGTTGTCAAGGCGAATCCCATAAGCCCCAGAGGAGCAGGGTTCGCAACCACAGATTTCGTATGAATGGGTCTGGACAGGATTTCTTCCAATCGAGATGCCTTTTCCAAATCACGATCGTGCGTTGGGTACGACATTGTCGATATGTTCTCGGTCCTGCAGAAGACAAGGTCGTGGCTTTGTGAATCCTGGTCGAAGGAGCTCAAGCTCTGGAGGAGTGTCAGTTGGGAGGAAACTCACAGTCACGCTAGATCTCACAGAGAGAAGCGCGACTGGATGTCGAGACTGCTGAATCTGGTCTGCCGCTGGCTTCCGGATTGGCTTCGTTTTCGCTTGCAGCAAGTCAAGACTGTTTCCTCCTGATTGATGTTAGCTCAAGCATCTGATATATGGGCGGTCCAGCTCCCATCGATACCAGCTTGCGGACGAGCATGCCAAAACCAGCTCTTGACAGCGACTGCTATATTCTCCGCGTCAAGACAGACAAGATCTCACTCGCAGCCAGCACTAGGCCCAGCCCACGTGAAGGCAGCTTCCCCAGCACTTTCCCGACCTGCGCTTGCAGTAAGAAAAGCTTCTCCGCTTTGGCTGGAGCACTGTAATCTCGGGCTGCTCGGGGCCCCTCGCTGAGACGGATTCGGATGCCACTACCAGATTCTTACACCTGTCGCAGTAGTTGGTCCTCCCGAATTTGGTGTGAACCTCTTTTGCTTGCTGTGAGTGGCCTCGAAGGACTTTCATCAGAAATGCTTCTCAAAAAGTCGGACGGCCTAAGCTCCGTGGACACTATGGCCGATTCGCCCGCTGCGTCCCGAATTAAATTTATAAATTTGGGGTCTGTCCTTTTACGTTTATTGCGGGGCAATGATGCTGTGCAGGAAATCATGTCACTGTCAGCTTTTCGTTCCACTTCGGGATATTGCGGCCTCACGAACCAGGAGAGAACAAAGTTCGAGACCTAAGATTCGGTACTATCGTCATGGCAAGAACACTTTCCGGAATATTTGTACCATTTGTCCACTCTCACAAATCTAGGCAGCTCTGGAATGGAGGGAAAAGTTTCAAAGTCGAGTCCGGCAATTTCGTTCTTCACCTTTAAAATTAAGGTTCCCAAAGGTTCGATCGCTTCTGTGGTCGGAGGGTTTTGATCTCTAGGAAGTGCCCAGCATTTGAGATTTCTAGTCCTGGTGTCCCGCATCCAAACCACAATACAGAGGACAATTCTTCAGATGACCTCAGTTATGACCTCAGGCTACAGATAGAGCCGCTCTGGCGCAACTATCGGATTTGCCATTAGAAGCTGATCGAACTCGTCACGGTGATCAGATTCTTCCAAGAGGTTTGACGATGACTCCCTATTTCAGAGCTTGAACGAGCACACCTGTCTCAGAAGTGGCCTTTGTTCTCAGGCTTATCTCCGATCCCCTGACATGAAATCTTCACGTTTTTGTAGCACAGGTTCAATCTCCGTTGACGCTATTCTCGTGCGCCATTAAACTTCAGTGGTTTTGTTTCGCTCTCCAGTTCCAAAGCGCAGCTCGTGGAACATTCTCGTGAGAGTCAGAGTTGTGAATGACATCACCTTCAGTGCAATTCATAGTTTCTCAAATAGATGTTTCCTCTTCCCTTGTACATCAATCAAAGATTCCATACAAATTTAGAGCTTGTGTCCATGCTCTGGGAATGCAATGGTTTCAGGTTGAATTAATTTTATGTTTATTGTGATTTGCAATACTTGTTCAAAATAAGATCGTCCTCGTGTGTTCGAGTGAGGCGCATGCATAATCGAGATTGTCGATTTGCCCATTTACATCTCACTCTCAGCACTCGAGTCAGCAGTAGCATACCAACACGTGCCTGGACTCCTAGTATAGAGGCTGACGTGCTACGTGCCAGTAGATTGTTGGCTGTGATGAACGACAGATAAGGACTTTTACGCATTATTATTAGGCAGATCTTGAATTGCTTCATTGTTCATACCATTGATCTGCAACTTCGTGTCACTATTGTGAAGTATTTTGTCACCATGGTGTTTCATGGACATTGATTCTCTTAGCAAGCCTACGCGACAAGTTTTTCTTGTACTTTTCTCATTTCTTTATCCTTCATTCTTGATTCTTTCTCGAAATTTCAAAAGTAATGTTTTGTGTTTTTCTACTAGTTTTCTTCATAGTTATTAAAAAAAGTGTAATGATACACTTTAGCATGTAGGTAGGATAAATGTGTGATGAGTTGGGATGTATTATAGCCATATACTCCAACTCATCTCTAATGGTACATTTGAGAGGAACGGTGATTTCACATCAACTTACATATGTTTAATTAATAACCTATATAATAGCAAATGTCTCAAAAACATGTAGTAAAGCTTATACCCAACAAAACTAGAGCCCAAAAGGATCACCAAACACTACAAAATCTGTATTTTGAGTCTTCTAGCATTCTAAACATAACATTTTACAAAAATTGCATGTACCATTCTCTTTTATAAAATATCGTGCTTACTCCATCCGTCGAAACCCATAGCTTTCTTCAGTCTAAGTTTGCGTCATTTTGACATATAATGTGTATGCATCCATGGTTGCTTCTTTGTTTTTTATCTCCTCAACCGCCTCTGCCTTCAGACGGTGCACTTCTTCCTCGTACTCGTCCAATTGTCGTATAAATTGTATGGCATTGCATCATCTTTGCAATATGTCTGTCTAAAGAAGCAATTGAGGGTTTAGGTTTTCATAGTCCATGCACGCAGTGCACAGTGTATGAATGTGTTTCATGTACCGTGTTGCTGTGGTTCTCAGCTTCGAATGTAGGTGGATCCAATCTTATCTAGCTCTATAAATTGATGTAATATACAACCTCAATGTGTTTTGTTCCTTTAATCAGTTTTAAGTACGATGCAACCATGCTTATTGGGTTACATCTACGGCATTGAGGAACTTTTCACTTAGGCTTTTAACTTCCCCTTCGACTTTGGCAGATGAGTTATCATGATCAGCTTTGTCTTCTTGTAAACTCTGCCAGGAGTTTTTGAATGACATCGTCTAATTAGGCCAGCAACACGTCGTCCCACGTTTATGTCCTTGGATCTTGCATTTTACTAGATATAAAAATATCAAGCTAGTAAGCATGCTACTATTCTTTGATAAGATTCCAGAACCTATCACCTTCAACTGGATAACTTTTTTACTTCCACGAGACATCGAGTTCATACCACTTACATATGTACAAAGAAAATATAAAGTTGGTTAACTCGATCTCTACCATGATGAAATTATTTTATCATTGTTGGTAGATCCCCAAGTTTTATGCTATTTGTCCAAATCTCAATCTTTCAAAAATGTAACTAATAATTTCCAATCTTTGCGTAGTTTACTTATAATCATCATCTTTATCTAAATATCTGAAAAAATTTAGAATATTTTCTTATGTAACATTTGAATTTGTAATTTTTGTTAAGAATAAACTTAAATATCGATTAATTCAGATTAACTTCAGTTAGATCATCTCTATATATAAAGAGTTGATTGTAACTTTAAATAACAGAAGTAAATGTTTTATTGAATTAGCTTGTATGATTTTATGGATGCAGTCCAAAGTCATGAATCACATATTAGTCTCTCGGCTTTATGTTTTTGTTATGCATTTGTAACATTCTTGCACAAAAAATCATCAAGTTAATTAGAATTTGCACTATTTTGTAATCGAAGATTTATAAAAAAAGTAGAGACAATTTTTTCTTTAGAATCTGACATTTTAATAATGTTTTAAGTCTTAAAGATTGTGTCCTGAATGATGAAGTGTGAAAAAGTTTGCTCACTCTTTACAAAAAAAATGTCTTCATGTAAAATCTTATTTATTTATCACTTAATTTAACAAAAACGTGTTAAGTGTGCGTCTCGGCAGAGCGCATTTGGATTATTAGTATGTAGATTATTAGAAACTAGATATTTGAACTTGGTAATTGATTAAAATTTAGCTAAAGTATTATAAACTGAACCTTGATACGTTTCTTCAAGAATATAATTACAGTTAATATTCAATATCATTTTAACCTTTTCATGTTTATTATGAGGAGTTTCAAGATATTCAAAAGCTTAGTGATATGAAATCAGACACAAACACATATAAAAATTTCAATTTAAGAATACTCTTCTAAAACTCGATTTTTTTGAGACTTGAATATCTAATCACAAACATTACTCACAAGTTAAAAAATCTTGTGCCTACATTTAGTGTAAAAAGAAATAAATTTTGAATTATAATGAAAAATTATATGATTTTTGATTAATCACATAATATTATATATATTGATTCATAAATTATATTTATAAAAGGTTCAAAGATTTAAAGTTTAATTTGAATTTAATTTCTTTTCTTATAAAATTTAAATTACAAATCTTCATCTTAATTTTTATAAGAAAAATTAGTTGGAATAAAAGCAAAAATATCATTCGAAATACATGATTAAAACTACTATTGAAAACTTACATACATTATTTTCAATTTTTTTAAATAGATTTATTTAAATATTATAAGAGATAAAATTCATCACTATACTTCATTGAACCTTTTTGAATCGTTAATGTTGTGGATATGACTAACAAGTAAATATATCATTTTCAAGCAACACATTCAATTGCTACCATATCATATACGGAAGTTGTTGATGTGTAGATTCACGGTGATGTTGGTAAGAGATTGAGTTTCAACCATCCTAGCATGATGATGACGTAATTATCTATAGTATCTTGCTTCAATTTTAGGTTAGAGTCTGAGATGCTGCAATTTGTATATCAGCAATTTTTGTGATTGGATCGTTGATGGAGTGATACAAGTAGCTAGCTCAAAAGTGAGTTTGCCAATAAAATCTAATTCGGCCCATAACTTAATGGAGGTCATTTTTACGGAATCAGCCTGCTGATTGACAAGGTTTTAAGTGCACTCAGCTTAATTATTTGTCTTAGACAACTAATTATTATGTCACCATCTACGCGTTAGATTCATCGATAGAAGCTGCACTCTGTCTAGTTCTGAGATCAGATCAAACGAATAGCATTTTGACTGCGCCGGGACTTATTATCTTGCCTGCAGGAGCGCTACATTTTCATGAGGGAGACTGCTCACAATGCTTATCGAAAGTAGTCCTACGTTCAGATGCACGCTCTGGTTTACATCCTGATTTTGGCCAATATGTCAATGACGTTCTCAATCACCATATGGTGGGGTGTGGGTCTAGCAGGGAGTGGCTCAGGGTTTGGCTTCTTCACTATGATAACCTGGGCTTAATTCTGAGCTGGTAGCTCATTTGTTAGCCTCTTGTCTACGGCAATGTCCAACGTGATGCTTGGCTACACCATAGTAGTGTCATTGCTGGCCTACTGTCTACTGCTTAGTCT